GTGATGCTAAGAGATGAGAATGCTCACTTTTATTCGCTGCTAACTGAAAGGTCAGAGGTTCGAATCCACCAGCTTCTCCACAGGAGGAAGATGAGCTTTCTTCTCCTCTAAAGATTACAATCTCAAAAAGCCAATGGAGGACTGCTAAAAGTTGGACTTGACTCATTGGCAGTGCAGTTTTTCAGTTCCTCTTAGCCTCACCTTAATAATGACCTTTTAGGGATCTCTAGTGGCCTAGTGGTAAGGAGCTGTGCTGCAATCCTGAAGGCACACAAATCCACCAGCTGCTCTGCAGGAGAAAAATGAGCAATCTTTTCTGGTGTAATTCAACTGCTGCTGAAAACCCACTGGAGGATCTTCTCTGGGTCAATTCTAACTCAGAGGTACACAACAACAACAACAAAACAAGCACCCACAGTGGAAACTGGTTGCTATCTTCAGTTCTTACTTCCGCCTTCTCCTTCTTTTACTTTGGTATTCTCAGAACCAGTCATCTTTTGCTAAAAGGCATTAGCATCCAGACAAGTATCCTACTAAAATCCAAAAAAACCTCATTGAGTTCAGTCTATTGGACTTACAGGCATTGATCCTTTCTCGGGAATCTGACCAACTCCACGAGGCCTCTCCAGTAAACTTATACATTTTCTCTGTGTTCTTTTGCTTCTGAGATGCTAACTGCTGCTTCTTTTTGTGTTGTGTATGTGTATGTGTATGTGTTTAAAGCTCTCTAGTAACTGTTTAAGCTCTAATATAGTATATTTTATTAAAATTTTCTTTATTGAAATCCCTCCTGTGGTTTCTTTTTACCCAGCAGGGTCTTAACAAAGTGCAGTAATCACTGTTAAAATGGGTTTAGCACACCTGGAATCGCTGGGTCAGAAGTCCCCAGCGAGCAGAGCCTGGCCTGTTGTCTATACATGCAATAGACCTTGCTTGTGCTCTAGTCCTGGGAAATACCATTGATTTAACTAGTCCCTTGTAAAAGGATGTTTACATTGTTTCCCAATTTTGCCTCTATCAATGATGTTTTTAAACAGCCTCAAATAATTTTTTTCATCACCTAAGTATGAGATGTTTGTGAGAAAAATGTATAGAAGTGGAAGAGTTGGGCAATGGAATTGTCATATTGCTCTTCATAGAGGTTGTACCAGTTATAGCCTCTCACAGGCAATAAGCAGATGTATCTGCAGGAGACACAGAAAACATCAGCCAAGGGAGGAGTGAACCAGAAAAGACACTTGGATATCCTAAGAGCGTGTTGGCTGATGGAAGAGTGAAGACCATCTGGAATCTTGGGGAATTATTTTTGGCCTAGACTCTATGGACCTCATGTGAGTTCTTTTGGAGATAAAGAAAGATAAGAAACAAATAGAAAAACCTCTCTAAGACATTTGAGGGCAATACAAAAAAGAGAGGTACTACGCTACAGATCACGAGGTTTTGGCAACTGAAAGAGGCTTTGTGTATCTGGTTAGCAGCCATACTCTGTCAGCCTCAGTGTCAAGCAAATCTGGTTGTGGTGGTCAGAAGCAAGAGTCCGATCTACAGATGTGTGACTTTGTAGCAAATGCTTGTCAACTGGGCATACTGTATGTGGTAATAACACATGAGACATTTATTTTTGTTGTGGTTGTTAGATGCTGTCCAGTCAGCACTGACTCACAATGACTCTATACACCATAGAATAAAAAACTGGCACCATCCCTGGTGCACCCACCTCGCACCATCCCCACAAAAGCTGTTGTGTTTAAGCTCACTGTTGCAGACACACTGTCAATCTACCTCTTTAAGCATTTTCTCAATCACCCAGATATTCAAAACCAAAACCAAACTCAGTGTCTTTGAGTTAAAATTAACTAATAGCAACCGTCTACTGGATCTCTGAGGCTATAAATTTTAAAGGGAGAAAACTATCTTCTGAGGAGCAGCTGGTGGATACTATCGCTATAATACCATTGGTCCTTATTCACCTACTAAAATCCAAAAAACCCCCTCACAGTTATCAAGTTGACTCTGTTGTGTTTAAAGGCTAAAATCTTTACAAGAGGAAACTGCCCATCTTTTTCTCGCAGAGTAACTAATAGATTCAGTCCACCAACCTTTAAATTAGCACCCTAACACGCCATATGCCACCCAGACTCACCTACTAAGTCTCCCAAACATTTAGCTGGAACTTTGTAAGGCACTAAGGTCTGTTTCTTTGTATTAACAGAGAGGCCAAGAGACTATAAAACACAGTGACAAAACTCTGATTTACTAAGTTTGTCCGATTTTTTATTTCTACATCTTTGTTTTAGGCACTGGGATAGACTTTTGAGAAAACAAAGTAAAATATTTTTCCTCAAGTCTTGCTATCTTTATTATCACTTATTCTTTACCCAGTATGACATAGCTCCCATTATCATTGTCCACATTTTTCAGGCAGGTTACAATCTGCTCACTTTTGCTGATTTCAGTTTAGTATTTTGAAATAACAAACCCATCTGTACCAAAGCTGTGTCTCTTCACTCTGTAAGCGTGGAGTGTCTTCCTGCAGATCACTTTTATGTTACACTGTGTGTTGTTTGTGCTATTCTTAATTTACACAACAGAGATGCTGTCATTGCCAATTAACATTTTTCAAGGACCCCCTGGATGCATAGCTGCATGGAAAATAGTTTCATATTCTCTTTGTTTCAGCTCTCAGGTAGCTCCTTCAAATGCATTTTTAAATATTTCATTGGTGACAGAGAAGAACAGAGATCTCAATTAGGATTTGGGAATATTTGGCCTTTGCAGAAAATGCTTGAAGAAGAACATTAAGGATTTGTGTTAATATCTGAAAATTTAAAACAGGGCATCCTTAAATTCAGCCAACAAATGATAAGAGCAAAACGCATTAATTACTCCTGAAAAAGACCTAGTTGAGCATCCCATTCTAGCATCTGTCCTTTGAGTCTCTCATTTCACCCTATTTATTGACTCTATCTGACGCCTTGTAGTATGCTAATTCTTGTGCTAAGGAAGGTGAGGGTTTGAATCCACTAGCTGCTCCTCCAGAGAAAGCTAAGAAGTTGCTCCTCCCATAAAGATTTACAGCCTCAGAAATTCAATTCAAGGGCAGTTGAAAAAAAGATTTTTTTTTTTTTTAGGGAAATGGTGGTGGTGATGGTTTATAATTTACAGGGTTTAGGCTAAATATTTTTGATACTTTTTCTAATCATCTCTGTCCTTAGAATGACTCCTTCAAACTCTTGCAGTCCTTGTTCTTTCATACCAGTCATTTGGAAATGCAGCACATGATAAACTATTTTTGTTTGTTCGTTGAAAGGTAAAAAAGTAGATTCATTAGAAAGTTACATCCCAAAGGGATGGACCTCCTTCCTTGAATGGAAATATGAAGAGGCTGATACAATATATATACTATTTGGGAATGTTTATTCTTCCCCAGAATATCAGAAAACTGAACCATTTATTTTTGTCTTTGGTAGAGTCTATTAAGATCAGATGGAATTTTATTTAAAAATGATGTACAACTTGAGGTGGAACACTATCTTTAATAAAGTTTACTAATTTAAGTGCTGTGTGCACATTTTTTGTTGGGCAGTGGGGTATACTTTGGGAATGTTAGAAGCATGTCCTTGGAAAAGGACATCTTGATCGGAAAGGTAGAGAGGGTCAGCGTGGGGAGGGGAAGCTATTCAATGAGATGGATTTACGCAGAGAATATAAGGGTGGGCTCCTGTATGTCCAAGATAGTCAGGCTTCATTGTTTATAGGATCACCCTGACTCCACAGCACATAAAAACAACAATAAAGTGTAGATTAGCAGAGGGACCATCATTAAAAGAAGTCAGCAGTTTGTCTGCACACAATTTTCTTAATTTGCCTAAAGTGAATTCTTGGAGGCAAGAACTTTGAGACTCTGTCTCACATACTTTGCCACGTAGCCAGGAGAGAACAGTCCTTGGAGTAGGATTTTGTGCTTGGAAGGGTGGACAGACAGCACAGGAAGAAAAACCTGGGGATAGATGTGTCAGTAATAGTGAGATTGGCTCAGATAGTGCAGAATTCAGAGCTGTTGTGTATAGGGTCCCTACGAGTTGTAGTCACCTCAGATGGCACACACTAGCACCACCACCACCACGCTGCATTTTTTTAAATTATATTAAGTTTATTTTTAAAATTCGAATACATTGATTTCGAGAACAGATTCTTGCAATTGCCCTCACTCCCCCCAAACCCATCAAATCGTACAACTCTATGATTAATCTCCCATCCCCTTTCATATCCTCATCCCTCTGCTTCCAACCTTCCCTCTCCCATGGATCCTTATACTCATTCTACAATAATGGTTTTTTTACAATATTTGTCCTTGTGGGACTGAGTTCACTCAGCCCATCATCTCTGATGTGATAGTTACGTGTAGTGCGGCCATCGGTTGTAGGGAATTGTTATTTTGGAGGGTAATTCTGAAGACTTTACTTTCAAAAAGACCTTCACTTGTGGCACGCACTTTTGAATAAAGAACGCACCTTTAGGCTTTTTATCGTTAAGAACACCCGCCTAGCAGCGCCTTCCCCTCACATCCATTCCTCAGACCGCAAATCCTTTGTTGCGCACAACCCTTCGATTCTGTCCTTTTCTCAGCAGGATAAAGCTCCCGCGGGGCGCCACCCACTCTGCTTCCGGGGGCCTCATTGGCTAGTTGTCCGTTCTCCCCTCCCATCTGTCCCCTGGATTTGGCATAGGACGTGGGTGTCTTTTTGATCAGGCACTGATTGGTAGAAGTTTAATCGGTGCAAGAGTATTTCTGAGTCTCTATTGGTCTTTAGACTTGAAAATGGGCGGGGAATAGCAGAGCGACAGGACTCAAGGAGGGAAGCGCGGAGTGCGCCGGCGCGTAGTCTGAGACGCCGGGCCGAGGCTTTTCCTAGGAACCAACTGTTGTCGCCCCGCCCCCTCGGGGCCTCTTTGTCCCGTTAACTGTTGGAGTGGCGGGGGCGTCAAGGCTGGGCGACATGCCGGTGCGCTTCAAGGTGAGCCCAGGGCTCCGGGACCCGAAGGCGGCTCGGGGGAGCCACGGCAGGGCGGGTGCAGAGCGCGGCGGTCACGCTGGCTGTCTGCACCGCGCCTGGTGACCCCCAGGCTGGCAGCCTGGAGCCTGCCACGGTCCTAGGATACCCCTCTCCATCGCTGCTCTTGCACATTGAGGAGTTGCCAAGTTGGAGAGTTAGATGGTGTCGATGCAGATTTAGTCTGGTGGGTGGGTGGACGGAGGAGGAGAACGAAATGCTACTTCAAATTGGGGCACATATGGCCCATCTCACAGCCCAGCATTTAACCCTTTTTTCCCCTTTAAAACTTTAAAGTACGCGTATCTTCTAAAGACGAGAAATGTGTCCTTAGTAATGACAGAATATAAGACGTATTTAGGTGCTTATGTTGTGCATTCATTTTAGGGTTTGTCCACAGGTGTAGGTAACTGATAGGACTAGCACCCTTCAACGTTAACAAGTGGCCACATCGTTCCACAAGCTCAGTCCTTTCTTTTTTAACTTAAAGCTTGTATCCAGAATGTAAGGGGAGCTTGTATTTGTTTGACTTCACCACATTTTGATAAGGTACTGAGTAAAACATTTCATGTTCATGTCCTCGGTGAGAATTTAATTAGGATGATCCGTGGTGATTAGGATTTAAGATTGTCATCTGGTACAAGAGAGCTGGGGCTTTGGAATCTATCTGAGAAAGCATGGTTTCTGTGAGCCTGTATTCCTGCTAGCATCTGCTTCAAGTTGTGTGAGGATTAAAGGGGGTAATGGATGTCAGTTGCTTAGCACAGGGCTTGGTAAATATTAGCTCTTATTGAGGCACTCTTCTGTTTCTAATTACCAATTCCAAGTTTCTCAACTCAGTCTTTGGAGGCTCAGATGTAATCTCTAATTGTTGTTCTTAACAATGTTTATTAATGGCCTGATTCTCAAATCGTATTTTCTGTTACAGGGGCTGAGTGAATACCAGAGAAACTTCCTGTGGAAAAACTCCTATTTGTCAGAGTGCCGTAATCCCTCAGTAGCACAGAAGTACCCATTGGCTGGCCTTAGATCAGATCAATTAGGTAAGTTATGCAAACTAACAACATTATAACCTGAGCAAACACAAGTTTGCCCAACCATTTACTTAAAAATTCCGAAGCATGGTTGACTTACTCATTTGTTTATTTAACAAATACTTATTATTGAGGATTTACTGTGGGTCAGGATTCTGACCAGTTGCTAGAAGATAGCCCTGAGCCAGACACAATTCAGTAACTAGAGAAGAAGAAACAGAAAATAGTCAATGCAGTAAGTAAACATAATTTTAGTTTGTTATATAAAATTGTTGTTGTTGTTGTTGTTATGTGTCATCGACCCGCCTGCGACTCATAGCGACCCTATGTACAACGGCCCTAAACTCCGCTCTGGTCCTGTGCCAATCGCACCGTCTCTGACACTCCCATCCCAATTATCCCAGTCACTGAATCAATCCACCTCATAGAGGGCCTTCCTCTCCTGCGCTGTCCCTCCACCCTCCTAAGCATGATGTCCCTCTCCAAGGACCGGTCTCTCCTCACAACATGTCCAAAGTAAGTTGGACGGAGCCTCAGAATCCTTGCCTCCAAGGAGCCACCCGGTTTAACCCTTTCCAGGGAAAATCTGTTTGTTTTCCTAGCAGTCCATGGTATTCTCAATACTCTTCTCCAGCACCACAGCTCAAAGGCATCAATTCTCCTTCTATCCTCCTTGGTCATTGTCCAACTCTGATGCATAACAAGTGATGGGGTAGACCAAAGCTTGTATCAGACGCACCTTAGTCTCCAGACAGACACCATTGCTCTTCAGTACTTTGGAGAGGTCCCTAGACTTTCCCATGGCAATGCGCCTTTTAATTTCCTGGCTGCTGGTGCCAAGACTGTTGACTATGGAGCCAAGCAAACTAAAGCTGTGTACAATCTCAATCTCTTCATCATCCATCCTGATGCTGCCAATTGGTCCAGTGGTGAGAATCTTTGTCTTCTTGACATTGAGCCTCAATCCATGTTGTAGGCTGCAGTCCTTGACACTCTGCAGCAGGCGCTTCGGAGTTGCTTTCTTAGTTAAAAAAGTCATTGCTAGAGCCATCTTGAAGTACAATATTGTCAGTGACAGGATAATATCTATACGCATACAAGGAAGTCCAGTGAATACCACTATCATTCAAATATATGCACCAACAACCAGAGCCAAGGAAGAGGAGATAGAAGATTTTTACCAACTTTTACAATCGGAGATTGATCGAACATGCAATCAAGATGCATTGATAATAATGGGTGACTGGAATGCAAAAGTCGGGAGCAAAGAAGAAGATTCAGTAGTTGGAAAACATGGACTCGGTGACAGAAATGGATCTGGAGAGAGAATGATCGAATTTTGCACAATGACTTATTCATGGCAAATACATTTTTTAAGAGACATAAACGAAGGTTATATACCTGGATTTCACCTGATGGTATGCATAGGAATCAGATCGATTACATCTGTGGAAAGAACCGCTGGAGAAGCTCAATATCAGCTGTGAAAACTAGGCCAGGAGCTGATTGTGGAACAGACCACCAACGACTCATATGCAAATTCAAGCTGAAGCTGAGGGAAATTAAACCAAATCCAAGGCAACCAAAATAAGACTTTGAGTCTATCCCACCTGAATTTCAGAACCATCTCAGGAACAGGTGTGAGGCTTTGAACACTAATGAGCGAAGGCCAGATGAGTTGTGGGAGGATATAAAATTGTTGGATAATATAATAGATAAACTTGTGGAAAGGGTAGGTGAGGTATCACTTTAGAGACAGTGGTCAGGAAAGACCCTTCTGAGAAGGTGATTTTTTTGACGCAAGACTTGAAAACAAAGAAGGGACAGGCCTAACGATGAGTATTTCAGGGGCTTTTGAAGCTAGAGATATGTTAAGCAGTGTGTTCAAGGTTCAGTGACAGAATCATTTAAAACCAAGTTGTCTTTGCTTAAACCGAGTTCCTCTTCTTTCACACCTGCTTTCCCCCTGTCTTCCAGGGAAGTCAGGACCATGGCTTGCTTCCCAGGTTGTGGCAGAAGGGAAAGAAGACAGAAAACACTTTGCAACCGCTTATTTATTTTCCCCCTCACTAGAATGTAAGATCTCCAGGAATAGGGCTCTCTCTGTGTTTCACCCTTTCTCCATCCAGTATTTAACGCAGGGCCTTGGCACACTCTGATAATCATTAAGACTAATTTTTGAATTTGAATTCACAATGACCGTGGGGCTTTGGATAAACCGAGCCTGTTTTGCTAAGTGGGAATAGAGATGCTTGCTGCACAGGATTGTAAGGGGTGGGCTAAATGAGACATTGCGTGATGGAACGTGGCACGTGTTCACGTCAGTGGTTGGTGCCCATATGGGACATGTGTGGGAGTACCTGGCAAGTCCCTCAGCTGCTAGATGTTTGAAGCTGGGAAAGTGAAAGATTTATGCATGGCATGCTGAGCCTGGGAAGTTAATAAAATGATGACGTTATCTCTAGGATTAAGTTGGGAGAGCAAAGGGAATCCAGTCGAGAGAGGATGGCTCCTTCTGGGTTTCTCTGAATCATTAGCATTCTTAGTCTAGAGCCTGATTCAGAAGCAGTGTGTCCCAGTTTTTCACTATTCTCTTTCCACATGACCAGAAATTCTATAAATTTGCATTTCCATTTGACTAAGGTTATGAACCACACCCATCTTTTTTAAAAAATTTCTCACTGATCATTAAATATAATGCAATGTTATATTCACACCCAGCGTAAATCATGTCCAGAAAGAAAACCGAACCTGTGCCCTTTGAGTCACAGCTGACTCCTGGAGACCTCTTGTGTTACACAGTACAACTTGTTTCTTGATTATAGATCCTTGCCTGTGAACAACAAGTCTTTCCTTCTGTGCTGGCTTTGAACTGGTGGCTTCAGGTTGGACTAGACAAAACTCACAAACTCACTGCAGTCCAGTTGATTCTGATTCATAGCAGTTCTACACTGGGTTTTCAAGGCTGGAAACTGTAAGGGGAGGAGATTGCTCATCTTTCTTCCACAGAGCAGCTGGTGAAGTAGAACCACACCCATCTTATAGACCTGTCACGGAGGGCCTGGTGGGATGTCATGGCATCTGAGAATGTTCGCCAGAGAGTTGCCCCCCTAAAATTTCAGCTGCATTTTCAGATAGGGTAATAAAGTGAGATACAAGGAGCAAAGCCACTTTGGAATACAGCACACTGTGGAAGGAAAGAATGACTTAGATAACAGATGGGCTCCCTGCCCCTAGTTTTAGGGGAGTGAGAATGTGGGGTGCTCCAAAGGAAAGAATGACTTAGATAACAGATGGGCTCCCTGCCCCTAGTTTTAGGGGAGTGAGAATGTGGGGTGCTCCAAAAGGGAAGTAAGCGTTGAGAAGGGAACAGCAATTTTACCTAGGATTGATGGTTCATCTCCTTAGAGTATATCCATCCCTCCCACTGCTTCTGCCAGCCCAATGGAGTCCCTTGGTGGTGGAAACAGTGAATGTACTTGGGGTACTAATCAAAAGATTGGTAGTTCAAGTCCACCGAGAAGAACCTTAGAAGAAATGCCTGGTGATCTACTGAATTCTCATACTCATTGCCATTAAGTCAGAACTGACTCATAGCACTGAGAGGCTTTTCAGAGCTGTAAATCACGTGAGAGGAGATTGCCCTTTGGGGCAGCTGGTCGATTTGAACTGCTTGCTTTTGGGTTGGCAGTACAATTGCTTACCCACTAGGCCACCAAAGCTGCAGGTACTAACTGGGCCTGACCCTGCTTAGCTTCTGAAATCATGGGTGTTGAGGGTGGACTGAAAACATTGTAGAGCTCAGGTCTTCTCTGAGACATGTGGGATTGCCTTAGAATTGCTGTTGACTCTATGGCAGCTGGAAAGAAAGGGGGAGGGGAAGATTCCCCTAGGGCTTTAACATTGTAGCCGAAATGAAAATCTTTTCTTATCTACCAGAAGCTGGGGACTCAGTACTAAAGGAGGAAGAAAGCTCTTATCTTCAAGCTTGCTTCCTTCCCCACCCTCTGAAAAAATTCAGAAAATCTTTCTATTTCCTTACATGTTTTAATGTTGTTTTCAGTAAACCATTAGTTAAAGAATGTGAATGTTTTCTGTTAAATTATAGACCTGTCTTATTTTGCTCTGGAATTTATCATCGTGGGAAAGTCATTGTATAAGGTCACCTTTATAATAGCTATGTCGATATTTTGTTGTGGACCATTGAGTTGGGGCTGACTCATATCTGACTCTCCAGGGGGTTTTCTTGGGCAGGAAATGTAATGGAAGGAGAGTGTCCTTTTTTCTCCTGCAGAGCAGCTGGTATATTTGAACCACTTTCCTTTGGGTTGACAGCGCAGTTCCTTACTGCTAGGCCACTGGAGATTTCTGCAGTGTTTCCATTATCATGAGGAGCCGAGACAGCACAGAGCGTTGTGGCATAAGCTTCTAGTTCCATGACTTCAGTCAGAAGTTATAGAGCGGCCCCCAAAAGACCTCAGACTGTCTATATGCGAGTCTTTTCACATTTTCAAATTGATATGTGAATTTTAAAAATCATATGTTTAATGCATAGTTTCAAAGGATGTAAATCAGGATGGATGGTGAAGAGATTGAGATTGTTAACAACTTTAGTCTGCTTGGCTCCACAGTCAACACTCTTGGCACCAGTAGTCAGGAAATGAAAAGATGTATTGCGATGGGAAAGTCTGCTGTTAGGGACCTCTCCAAAGTACTGAAGAGCAGTGGTGTCACTCTGGAGACTACGGTGCATCTGATACAGGCCATGGTCTTTGCAATCACTTGTTATGCGTCAGAGAATTGGACAGTGACTAGGGAGGATAGAAGGAGACTTGATGCCTTTGAACTGTGGTGCTGGAGAAGAGTATGTACCATGGACTGCTGGGAAAGCAAACAGATTCATCCTAGAGAGGCTTAAACCGGGCTACTCCTTGGAGGCAAGGATTCTGGGGATTCGTCTAACATGCTTTGGACGGTGGAGGGACAGTGCAAGAGGGAAAGACCCTCTATGAGATGGATTGATTCAGTGACTGGGGTAATCGGGATGGATGTGTTGGAGGCAGTGTGATTGGCACAGTATAGAGCAGAGTTTAGGGCTGTTGTATATAGGGTTTCTATGTGTCATAAGCAACTCGACCGCTCCTAACAATGACAACAACAGCATCAGCTTATTACTGTCAAGTCAGAATCGACTCATAGCTGACCCTCCACTGGGTTTTCTGAGGCTGTGAAATCACAAAGGAGATTATTGCCCAGCTGGTGCATTTGAACTTCCAGAGAGATGCTGCCTTTTAAAATTTATTTTATTAGAACTGTCAATTTTAGTTAATGGAATTTATTGAAAAGGTTCTTCATATACTTGACATAGCCAGTCCTTACAGCTAAACCAAACAGTCAGTGTAGGCTAAGTTTACATGAAAAAGCAAATCTAACTTTAGTATTTAATTCAAATACATATGTTAAATAATGTACACAATAACTGATTCAGCCCTGAATTTTAATTCTAAGATCATTGGCTAAAAAGGGTGTTCAAAGCTAGATTAAATAAGGTTATTATGCCCCTTAGTTTTCTAGTCTCTCTAAATTTGGTTTAATGTCACATCGTCTCCTCAGGAATTATGCTGTCCCTCTCAGGGTTATAGTTTTCCAGTGGCCTCTTCGTCGCCCATGCCTGGGCTTTTCTCTATGCTTTTCTGTGGGATGATGCATCTCAGTAAGTTTCAGGCTGGTTGAGATGCACCCCTTTCTTTTGTGATGTGAGAAAACGGTGCTTTTGTTAAGGATGATGAGAAGTGAAACTCCAGATTGCAGGGGAGGCTCTCAGGTCCATTGGAGTTAGGAAGAAGGATATACACAAGTTGAGGATCTGAGAAGTAATTTCCTTAAATTGTCCATTTCTGTTCTCTATGTTCTCAGAATGTCTTTTTGTACCACAAGACTTGCATAAAGCTCCAGTTTGAAGATCACTTGTCTAGGGAAACCTTTTAAGAATTGAAATCCTAGGTCTGATGGCCAAAACATACATGATAGAGACTAATATGAGGCTGAACCTTATGCTAAATTTTCTGCCCACCATCATGTTCCTTCTATTCTAGTCCTGATCTTCCTTCCTTCCCCACCCCACCCCACCCAGTCTTCTATTTAAATAATGGCCCTAAACTAGGGCAGTATCTCAGTGGCTGTCATTTTGTACAGCTTTTCTTACCTGGATAGAAAGTTAAGCTTTTTGGATATTTGCTTGCCAGACAGAAATGTAGAGAAGTCGTATCTTAGCTCTTGGTAAAAGAGTGCATTCTTTTTGATTCTCAGGAAATCAAGGTTAATGGAGAACTAAGATCCAGCATAATGACATTTCATCCCTTCTCATCTTGGGCTACTCTGCATAATGGGAGCTTTGTGAAAAGTTCCAAATTTTGGCAGTACCAAGGCCCATTGTTCTGCTAAGTAGCACAGGAAAGTAATTAGAAACTGAGGCAACATGTGCTGCCCAACTGGCCAGGTCCATCTCACTGTGATTCTGGTGCCTTATGTAAGGATAACTTGAACAGAGTGACCCAATTTTTAATTTTTGGTTATGGTCAAACTTTTAATACTTCTTTAAGGCAAAATTGAAGATTTTGTTGTTGCACACACACATGCTTTTTTAAAACAGAACCTTTAATTTTGCCTTTAAAAATATTAAAAGCTTATATATGTGTGTGTATCTTTGTAGTTTTTGTCATATTACTTAAAGACTATGTGAATGAACTGCATTTTGAATACAATTTTTTACTCTTACAGATGTTACTGAAGATTGTAACTTTGTGCTTTGGTAGATATTTCTATGTACTTTTTTTTATAGGAATCACAAAAGAACCAAGTTTTATTTCAAAGAGAAGAGTTGCTTACCATGACCCACAGATTTCAAAATCTCTTGAATGGAATGGATCAACTTCAGAGAACAACATGGCTGCCTCACCAGAATCTGAAGCCCCCCCGATATTGCAAGAGGCAGAACAAAAAGATGATGTTAACCCAGAAAACATCGTTGCCCTGGACGTGCCCAAAGTACTGGAGAGAAACAGACTTCACTCTGTGCTCCCCAGAGACAAAGGGGTTGCAGACCTGGTGGAGAATAAAGAGGATGTCCTAGCAAAATGTACACCAGTTAACGAAGACATAGAACCGAAACACTCTGCCAAGCCTCTTTCAGATAAAGTGGATAATGGGGTAGGTGTGATCACTAAATTGGGTGTTTTTTGCAGAATTCACCATCATTTCACTATTAGGTTTTGTGCTAAAATTTTTTGTTGGTTTTTTTTTTTTTTTTAATATCTGTAGGATAATTGACAAGAGATTATTGACTTCAGCTATTGTGAATTAGTCCTAATCTTAATACTGATTTCTCTTGGATATGCTAAGATAACCCTTTATTTGGTGGCAGCCTGTCTCTGGATTTAATTCATTGCCCATCAGCACTTGAGTCCTCAGGGAGAGATCAAGTTAAAGGAGAAAAGTGGGGGAGTAGGCCATTACTTCTGGCAGTGTTGGTGAGCTGACTTCTCCTTAGCCCCTTTTCAATTTCTTGTTATGTGCCAGCAGGAAAACAAACAATCTCAATTGATAAGATGCAAAAGGAAGAAGAATTCTGGTCTATCTCAGAGATCTAGTAGTTCTGCTCTATTATGTCACAACTGGCTTGTGGAAGGTCCCTGCAAGCACATAAGCAGAGGCGCCAGGGTCCCATGCAAGGAACTTGCTGCCTCCCACATATCTTTCTCTACTCCACTGTTTCTTCACCACTTCATAGTCACCACTGGCTGGAACCTCAGAGAGACATTTAGCAGTGTTGGAGAAGCAGAACGGGCTGAGGTGAAACCACAAATGATGGGTGGATAAAGCAAGGCGCTGTTGTTTTTCAGTAATAGATTTAATTGTAAATAATTTGCATGGGACTTCTGTTTACCAGAAATCATTAATAATTGTGACAGTATTAGAGAAAGAACTTTTAAATAGTTTGAAAGTATATAAGGGGGATTATTTATAAACTGGAAAAAGTTTGAATAGACATTTGTAATGCCTTTGAGTGGATTTTTTTCCCCCCCTTCAACAGTTGGATAGACTTCTACGAAAGAAAGCGGGATTGACTGCTGTTCCTTCACAAAATACCTTGAGAAATTCTGAATATCAAAGGCAGTTTGTTTGGAAGACTCCTAAAGAAACTGCTCCAGTTTTTGTAGCCAATCAGGTAGTTTAATGGATATAATGCATTTTTTTTGTGTATAATCTTTTGATATAGTGATGCAAGCTAACATAGAATTATGAACTGAGAAAATTTAGTTATTTAAGTAGACCTAGAGGTAGGTTCTAGAGTGTTATTAAAATCATCCTTTTACTTTTGATTTATAGTAGTAATATTATACTGTCCTAGGCTACTGATGATCATTGTTACCAGATCCATCACATAAACTAAATGTGAGACAGGGTAATGAAAACTTGGGCCTGGTAAGTTTTTGCATGCTGTAAGATTTTTTTTTTACTTTTTAAAAAAATTTATTCTAAAAATTTGTTTACTTGACTGATATAGTGCATGTTTTCTATCTTCTAAGAAAGACATAAAAGTTTTGAATATTTTAATTAATACAAAATATGTTTAAAGGAATAGAAGCTGTATGATTTTGTCCTTGTATGGTTATGAATAATAGTAAAAGGATTATCAGTTTGACTATATAAAATAAAAAAACTCATCTTGTATTAATTTGCACAGTTTTAGTGTTTGATTACCAGTACTAACACTCTTGTTTTAATACTGTAGTCCTTTGTGCAGTTCTTATTCTCTTAACTCGTATATTTTGCCACATCACCCATGCCTGGGAAGTAAATATTTCCACTGAGACTCATCATGGTTTAGTCTTTTCCTTTCTCCTGGGTTTTCTGTTTTTCCTTGTACCCACACACATGCACCTTCACACACACATTCTATTATTTATGTCACAATTGTATAAGGGTAGAGGATAAAGATTCAGTAAGACAGTAACATGAGCTGTTTTGCACTAATATAATCGCACTAGTTGTCCTATAAACTATAGTAGCTGTGGGCTTAGTTTTTACTCAGTGTTTTAAAAAATCCTGAAATTCCTGTAAACATTGTAGAAACAGATGGTAACAGTTTTATGTACCTGTTTCAAACTGATAAATAGGTTCAACACATCATTTGATTCTTCATATATGTTGTATAGAAAGTATTATCTACTTAAAACCTGAAAATGGTATTTGTTCTGTCTTGTATTTATTTGGCCTTTCAACTAGGGAAGATTCAAATAAAAACTGTATTGACAACTTACTTTGTCAGATGTAGTGAGAGCAGAATTACTATTTTTTAGAACCAGAAGTACCTTATAAAACAAATCACCACCATTATCTTCTCTAGTAGTTTTGTTGCTTTCATTAGTGAATTTCAAAGGATTTCTTTAGAAGCAAATGCTCTTTGTTGTTCAAAGGGTATCATTTTCAGTCTTGAAGAGCTCTGTGACAGAAGCTATTAATGCTTATTGGTGAAAAATCTCTAAAGGAATTGTTCAGTTCTATTTTTTCAGACACCTGTGTTCTGAAAGGATGCCTTATTTTAATATATAAAGGAGCCAGAACAATCTTTGTTAGAAAAATCTTTGAGATTATATTATACCAGAAAAAGAGATATTGTTCAGATTTAATCTGTATGCAGATGAGTTCTTCACCATTATAAAGCAATTATGAACCTTATTTAATCACTGTCTTTTCAATTTGCATTTCATGGAAGCAGCAGTAATGTACCAATCAAATGGAGACCATAGAGTGAAATATTAAGCATATAAGGAAACAATTAAAAAGAGAAGCATAGTAATAACTAGTTTCTTCCCTTGCCTTAAAAAAACAACAAAAAATGGAACAAATTGACTTTATTAGATATTAAAAATATTTAAGAATTTTTCATTGTTTCAGACCAAAAAGTATTAAGGAAGAAAAAAACCTTTAGAATTGATATCAGAGTTGCCTTGTAAAGGCAATTTTATCGCCAGTCTCCCTAATACTAGTGCATATGTCATAGTGAGTGCCCATGTTTATATTCCCAAAACATGCTTGTCTTCAATATCTCTTTATCAGACTGGTGCGTGGAGGATTGGGGAACATTGGGGAGAAGAGGCAAAACACACATATTCTTCATAATTTCTGTTGCCTTAAGCATTTTTATTATAATAAAATTCAAAACATAGCAGTGAATATGGAAAGTTGACTGTTGGATGTTACTCAGCTATATGAAATGAAATGATAATGTCTTTTTTTATATTCTATAATTAAACTTGGTGGAGCTTTTTAAAGATCTAAATTTTGTATAATTAACAAAAACTAAACTAAAGTAATTTTTGTTTTAAGGTTTTCCACAATAAAAGCAAATTTGTTCCACAATTCAAAGGTAACTCAACCATCCATGAAACTGAATACAAAAGAAATTTCAAGGGTTTATCTCCAGTGAAAGAGCCAAAGTTAAGAAATGATTTGAAAGAGAACGGAAATCTCGAAACTCAAGCTCCTGAAAAGAAGGTATTCATCAACCCTCAACTTTGGAACAAAATCCTTTTGATTTTAGATTCACCATGATTTCTTTCACTTATACTACTACTTTGTTTCTTTGCTACAGAATAAATTTATTTGCTTGTTCTTCAAACAGCAAATGTGTATTGAACACTTGCTAGGCAATGGGTACATACTGAAATGAAAATGATGATAAACTATAGTAAGTCTTAAGCAGCTCTTGGATGAGTGAGGAGACATGTAAATTGCTAAATATAATACAGTGCCTCGCTGTGCAGCTCTTGCGTTTTCTACAGAATGATCAGATGATTGACTTTCTAGTAATAAGAACTCAAGGGATAACAATATGAAAAAAACACATATTCTACATTAAATAATGGAAAATAATCATGTGTGCACACATACATTTTTAAACCAAAGCTTTTGTATGTGAAGTGTAACTGTATGATTCACCTGATTTACCAGGATGTGCCCATGCCTACTTCTGTATGAAATTATAGCCATTTAGCTTGCAGTGCCAGGATAAAATGGTTTATTTTTGGTAAATCAGATCCAAATACCATTTTTCTATCTCCCACAATAGTCCAATAATCTGATACCTTATTAATTATAATAATAGGAAGTCTGATTAAAAATAGTTTATTTTTAATAAACGTGCATAACCACCTTTGTTGGTCTTTTGGACCTGCACTATCTCTGATGAGAATAAAAGAGTTGATAACATATGTAGTAAAGCACTACTGTAATTTCCTCCCTGGAACTTTACATTTAATCCCATTTTTACAGTTACATGTAACTTTGGAATACTGAGGACAAATGCATGCTTTAATAGTTAATACCAACAAGCTTACTTCTTTATATGTTTGTTATCTTTCCCCCCTTTAGGCAAGGATCTAAAAGCTTTATTCTTAGAAAATGAAAATGTGTCCTGAGTGATATTTCAGAACACCTAATCAAAGCTAACTTGTTTCAGTCTTGCTTGTTGGTTTTTTGTGATTTAAGCTTTAACTTTTTTGGTTAGAGATTATTCCTAAAAATAAAAATATAATACAGTATCTAAGTGCGACTTTGTAATAGATATTTTTACTTTTTTGTGTAAGGCATTTTAAACAAGTCTTAACTATATTTTACAGATAAACACCCACGTGTGTATGTTGTCGTGATGTATTGTTCTCTTGGAACTGACTCATCACTGTCCCTCTGATGGATTTTCAGAGGCAGTTAATCACATGGGTGGAGATTGCCCATCCTCCTTCCATGGAGCAGCTGGTGGACTCAAACTGCATGCCTTTGGAGTTTCCAATGCAGCGTTTTGGCACTAGGCCACCAGAGCTCCCTTTGTGTTTGTGTGTGTGTGTATGTGTGTGTGTGTGTGTGTGTGTGTGTGTGTGTTTGTATGTATGTATGTATGAATGAATGATACATAGGATGTTATTGAATACTTGTCTGTAGATAATTATACTGCAAACTCAAAGGCCATACCTCTCTGGAGGTATGAATCTACCAGAGACTCTGGGAGAAAGCTGGGCAATCTCCTCCTGTACAATTCACTGGCTTGCTACCCAGTGGAGGATAGTGAGGTCAGTGCAGGGTCAGCTTTGAGTCGGTTCTGACTCCATGGCAATGAAAGAATGAGAGAGAAGGGATAGCTAATAATCTTGATCATATCTTCATGTGCTTGTTGCCCATCTTAATGTCATCTTGGTGAAGTGTCTTTTTATGTCTTCTGCCCATTTTAAAATTGGTTGTGTTTTTATTGCTGAAGTGATTGTGTTCTAAAAACATTAGTTTCTTGTCCAATATGTTGTTGCCATATATTTTCCCCTAGTTATTAAATTCTCATTTTACATATTTCTGCAGAAGTCTTTTGATGGCACGTAACAATTTTAATTTTTTTTTTTTTTTTTTTTACTATCCCAGTTGTCAAGTTTATGTTTTGCCATTTGTGCATTTTTTTTTATGTTAGATTGTGTGTAGCACAGATTAGGGGTCCCAAGTATGCCCCTACTTTTTGATGATCTTTATACTTTTAGATTTTGTACTTATGTCATTTATCCATTGTGTCAATTTTTGTACATAGTGTAAGGTATGGATCTTCTTTCAGTTTCTGCCTCAGTTGATAGTACTACATGATTCTTTTCCTTTTTTAAAATTTTTGTGGTAGATTATACTGATTGTTTCTCTAAAGCTGAAACACCCTTACAGTGCTGTTGTGAGATGCCATCAGTCAACCCCAACTCCCAACAGTCCAGTTTACAACAGATCTGAACCTCCACCACGCTCATAATCTCAGCTGTGCTCAAGGCTGTTGTTATGGTCACTGTGTGAGTCCATCTCCTTCAAGGCAGCCCTCTCCTTCACCGATCATCTGCCTTTCTTAGTATGATGGATGTCTTTTTTCCTAAGGACTACATATGTGGTATAAGATAATGATCAGATACATTTCTTTTATATGATGTTGGAGTGTGTTGACTAGAATTTTGTTGAAAATTTTGATGAACCTGTGTTTATGAGGGATTGTTGTTCTTAGGTGCCGTTGAGTCAAATACGACTTACAGCGAGCTTATAAATACAGCGACAGATCTAATCCCTGTCCTATCCTGTGTCATCTTCCCATTTCCTGACACACAAGGGCCCGCTGTGGCAGTCACTGTGTCAGTCCTCTTCGTTGAAGCTCTTCCTTTCCTTTGCCAACCGTCCTCTCTCCAAGCGTCATGTTCCTCTCCAAGGAATAACCCCTCCTAGCAACATGCCCAAAGTATATGAGGCGAAGCCTCATCATTCTTGTCTCCAAAGAGCACTCCAGCTGCTCACTCTGCAAGACATTTTGTTTGTTCTCTTGGCTGTCCATGGAATGTTCATTGATCTTCTCCAGCACCACAGCTCAAAGGCATCAATTCTTCTGTCATCCTTATACATTGTCCAATGCTTAGATGCATAGCAAGTGATTAGAAAGACTATGGCCTGAATCAAATGCACTTAGTCTTCAAACTGACATCATTACTCCTCAATAATTTGGATAGTTCCCTAACTATAGATTTTCTCAGTGCATTGAGTCTCCTTATTTCCTTATTGCTAATACCAAGGGTGTTAATTGTGGGTCCAAGTAAGATGAAGTTGTTGATAGTTTCAGTCTATTCTCCATCCATCATGATGTTACCTATTGGTCCATTGGTAAGAATCTTTGTTTTCTTGACATTCAGATGCAATCCATTCTAAAGGCAAATTCCTTGATCTTCTGCAACAAGTGCTTCAAGCAAGTTCTCACTTTCAGCAAGCAAGATTGTATTAACTGCATAATGCAGATTACTGATGGGCCTCTCTCTGATCCTCATGCCACATTGTATTTCATAGAGTTGAACTTCTCGAATAATTTTCTTAGCATACAGATTAAATAGGTATGGAGAGAGACTACAACCCTGGCACATTCCCTTCTTTAATTTTAAACCATGCAGTGTTGCCTTGCTATAAACTGCCCTGTGCTATAAACGTTGCTGTGCACCACAAGGTTTGATAATGTTGTATTGTCAGTATCATTTCCAGATTCCAGAAATATTTCATTTTTTACTTCTTATATTATCCAGATTTTAAGCAGGGTGTTGTATAGTTTCCATGTACTTGATTTTTTTCCCTCTTGGTCTTCCTGTTACTGATTTGTAATTTTATAACCTTGTGATCTGAGAAGATGCTTTGTAGTTTTAAAATTTATTAAGACTTGCTTTGTGGCCTGGCAAATGGTTTATTCTGAATAATGTTCCATGTGCACTGAAAAAGAGTGGGTCAGATGGTTCCATACATTACATATGTCTATGAGGTCAAGTAGGAAACTCTGGTGAGCTGGCTTCTTGAAACTGCACTGCAATCCCAAAGACTCTGGTTCAAATCCATCAGGTGCTCCATGGAAGAATGATGGGCAGTTTTCTCTTGTGTAATTTACTGCCTCTGTAAATCTGCTGGAGGGTCAGCCATGAGTCACTTCCAGTTTAGCAGATATTACAACGTGAGGTCAAGTTGGTTAATTGTTTTCTTGTCTTTGTTGAATAGGCTTACTGTATTTTAAATGTAAAAACAATGAAAAAGTTTTTTTAAAAAATTTTTACACATTATTCAAATGTAAATTATTTGTATTGTAGTGTCATAAAGGTGATCCTATAAAACCAGAGGCAGAGATGGAAGCAAAGAACTTAAACCAGCCTAAAAAGAAGCTTACTCCTTGGAGGCATCAAAGACTTGGGTTTGTATTTGATATTAAATATATATTGTATATTAACATATCAGAATATTTAGAGTATGAATAAAGCAGGATATTTACTTACATGTTTTTCCCTCTTAGGAAGGTGAATTCTGAATATAGAGCGAAATTTCTGAGCCCAGCTCAATATTTATATAAAGCTGGGGCTTGGACTCGTGTAAAGGAAAATGTGCCAAATCAGGTGAGTGAGTATAAGTTTAGTATACCCATTTTAAAATTTTTCTCAGCCTACATAATTGTTGAATTTTGAAATTAGACTCATGTACTAATAACAGCTACAGTTTTTAAAGATATTAAAGTTTAAAAGAATAGCATTAGAAGTAGCAGAAATTTAAAGATCTATTTATAGGCTACAAGTTACTTGTATGTTTTGCTTTCTTATGTAAAAATTGGTCCCTTAGATATTAATATATGCTGGTAATGTCTTTAAATTTACAAATATCTTTTACAGTCAAATATTTGATTGTGTTAATAAACGCAGTTTGTAGGATTATAACACGATAGATTTGATTATTTTAGACATCCAGACCTCTTTTAACTCAAGATTAATTTTTGAGATTAAATGAGCAAGCAGAAGAACATACTAAAAGTAATGGATGATTAGAAACTATGTGTATGACAATTGTCTTACAAAGGGAATTTAGGTCGGGGAAGAGGGAGGGAGGAAAGAACGTGAATGAATGAAAAAAAGATTAAATGATTTGTCAACATACTTGCAAACCTGTAAGCAAAAGGAAGAGGTGGCTGGGCTGTCAGGCTTCAGTTGGCGCTAGAGACCCCTGATATGCTGGAAGTCCAAAGCTTTGAGGGGTAGGTGAGTCTCATGTTTAGTATTAGCATCTTATACTTAAAGGATAAACAATGGACTTTTTTTACCTTTTGAACTTAATGTAAAATACCGTGTTTTCTGTGAATCTGTGAACAAGATATTTGAAACCTTTTTGTATGGACTAGACTTAAAGACATTAGTAACTATTCTCCCCTCCTTGGTTTCCCACTTCACACATGCCCCCAGCCTTGTCCCCGCTAGTCTCTGTAAAGAGAAAGATAGTTTGAGTGGAGAATAAATTTTGATTTAACTGTGTACTAGGTTTCGTAGCCAAAAGTTAGGTGTAGTGAGCCTGTAGGGGCCAGCACTGGCTGTTTGAGCCGCAGACTCTGGGCTGGTGGCTTTTAGATGTTAGTTGGTGTCCTCTGTGTACCTTGTGTTGCTTGGGGAAATCGTGTTTTTCCTGCCACCGTGGCTGCTCTTGACACACAGTACTCCTCTGCTTTAGCTTGGCTCAGCCACCGGCCGGCCAGGTCTAGACACTTATCTAGGTAGGTTTGTGAGAAGGTAACCTTGTTTTGGAAAGATTATCTCAGTCATTGAGACTTTAAAAAAATGAATTAAATTTAGAGTTTCAAATGACAGGATTGCTATGTCTGAAGCAAGATGATGTGAAATACCTTTCCTTACACTACCATTTTTGTTGTTTTTAACTTACTATCTTTTTTTTTATAATTTTTTAAAATTTTTATTATTTTGTGTATATGTGTCTGTGTACCGTCAGATCAAATCTGACTGGTACAGGAGGAGATTGTCCCTCCTTTGCCGGCAGAGCATCTGGTGGATTTGAACCATGCATCTCTGGGATTGCAGTGCAGCTTCTTGCCACTAGGCCACCAGAGCTCCCCTAACTTACTATCTTTTTTGAAGTTTTCTATCTTTATAACCTGGTAAAATGACTTTATAGGTGTATTTTAGTAATTGTTGTTGGTGGTTGTAACTAAATTGATGGTATAGTTTACCTTCATGAGCAGAATAATTTAAAAAGTAAATTGAAATTAGAAAAGGAAAGAATTATTAACTTGGAAGTCTGTGGTGGATGATAACAATTTTAGGTACATTTAATATGGGCTGTGTTTTACTTAAAACATAGGCTTTGGATAATTTTTTTTTTTTTACTAAAGATATTAACTATGTGTGTGACTGATGAGATATGTGAAGATAGGATACTCCCTTATTTTCCAAATAAGAAAAGATATATAAAGAAGTTTTAATCTACTTTAGACCTCTTCTTCATTTACTTTTGCATGTTTGTATACATTTATAATATTAGAGGTATTTCCCTTTGTGTTTCATCCACTAACTGAAAACACAATAAATACAGCTTTCCTCCAATATGTTTTGAAAGTGTATCAAGCTTATACAATGTACTTTTGATATCAGTGACTTTGTTATTATTAGAAGGGTAAAATACTTTTTAGTGTTGTTAGTTTTTTCCAGTCTTTGTATTATCTTCATTTCTTTCTGTGTTGTTTGAGGTAGTATACTTTTCAGTCTGTTTAGAGTTTTTGTCTGGTACTATAGAACTAGTTCCTATTCATAGCCATCTCATGGACAGACTAAAACTTAACACATAGGGTTTTCTCAGTTATGTTGTTGTTGTTAATTACCATCGAGTTAAGCACGACTCATAGAGACCCTGCGAACAAAAGGCCTGAAGCCTTCCTATAACTATCGTCATTTATCAAAGTTCAGAGTTTCCAGAGGCATGCGGTTTCAAAAGTGAATGCCACTCCTGTTTCAGTTCTTAGTAATAAGCTTTATATTAATGGAAACAGATCACCAGAAATTTTTCAGGGAGACCTGCTGGGTGGATTCGACCAGTGTTTATTTCAGCAATTGAATGTTATTAATTTGTCTCACTTAGTTTGTTGTTGAATGCTTTTTGAGTCAGAACTGACCCTCTAGGTGACCCTCTAGGAGGTCTTCAGAGGCAGTAGATCACCCGGGCGGAGATTGTCCATCCTTCTCTTGCAGAGCAGTTGGTGGATTCATGCCTTTGGGATTGCAGCACAGCTTCTTACCACGAGGCTGAAAGCTCAGAATAATGTACTTGTAACACATTATAATACTAGTACTAAGATTATTAATATATTTAAGGAATTTAAATTCAGTGACAAAAAGAATGAATAAAATTTTCACAAAATTTCAGTAAGCTTTATAAAATAATATTTCTAATAAAACCTGATGAATGTAAATGAAAGGGACATTTTCCCATCCTGTTCTTCAAACAGTAGCTCCTTTGACCTTGATAAAATGCATCCTCCCCATACTGCTTCTCCCCTTTCAGCTCACCTCACACTCCAGAGCTGATCACTTCTTTGTTGAACCACTTTAATTTAGATCTCATTTGTTTATTATGACATAGACTATGACCAGTATTACTGTAATTTATGCACAGGTCTGTCTCTTCTGCTAGACTCTTAGTGCCTTAGCCCCATTATCCTAGTCACGGAATCAATCTATCCTAGTCACTGAATCAATCTATCGCATTGAGGGTCTTCCTCTCCTGCGCTGTCCCTCCACCCTCCCAAGCATGATGTCCTTCTCCAAGGACTGGTCCCACCTTGCAACATGTTCAGAGTATGTCAGGCGAAGCTTCAGAGTCCTTGCCTCCAAGGAGCAGCCTGGTTTAACCTTCTCCATGGTGAACCTGTTGTTTCTCTTAGCTCTCCATAGTATATTCAGTACTCTTCTCCAACACCACAGCTCAAAGGCATCAATTCTCTTTCTGTCATCCTTAGTCATTGTCCAGCTTTCCGATGCATAGCAAGTAATTGCAAAGACCATGGCCTGTATCAGGCACACCTTAGTCTTCAGACTGACATCGTTGCTCTTCAGTACTTTGGAGACATCTCTGACAGCTGACATTCCCAATGCAATTCATTAGCCTCTGAAAACCTACTAGAGTATATCACCTGTGCTTCAGTTCCAACTCAGTGGCCATGAGGTTTGAGTTTTTAAATTGTGGTATTTAGTGAAGCCAGCAGATGGCAGTATAATATAAAAAAAGGAAGTGTTTCAAATGAATACAGACTTCAAGGGAAACTAACTACTTAATTGCATGGGAGTGGACCCTAGACACCTTAAAATTTGTCACAGCATTAAAAAAAAAGCCTATTGGTTGAAATATTGAAATTGTTTTGTGGGATATTATTGTTGATTTTATCCCACAAAGAATAATTACAGTATTTTAACCAAGTGAGCTCTAGTGGTTTATTGGTAAGGAATTGTGCTGCCAGCATAAAGGCATGCAGTTTGAATAGATAGTTTCCTCCCATGGGATTTACTGTGTTTGAAAAAACCCATTAGAGGGTAATCTGTGAGTTGGTTCTTTCTTAATGGTACATAACGTGATTTTGCTTATTCCAAGTAAATGTTGAGAAATTTGTTGAGCGAAACCATATAACCCTCTCAATGGAGATTTCTATAGTTGTAGCAGCTGTAGAGCTGAGAAATTAACCTAGACCAGGGGTTTCCAAGGATCCCTGGTGGCATATTGAAAAGGTGACGTGCGTGGCTGCTTACAAAAAGATGATGGATGGTTCACATTCATTATCTCTGTGAGAAAAGAGGTAGCAGTCTGCTCCCCAAAAGATTCAACCAAACCCACTGTTGATTCTGTCAATTCTGACTCCTCGTCTTGCTCTAGGAGAGAGTACAGTGGCCCCTAGCATTTCCAAGACTGCACACCTTTAAAGGAAGGAGATTGCCCATTTTTCTTCCCTGGAATGGCTGGTAGACTTAAATTGACAACATTTTGTTTAGTAGCCCCATGCTTAATTCACTGAACACCAGGATTTGCTTTTCCTATAAAGATTACAGCCTTGGAAACTCTATGGGATAGTTCTCTTCTATCCCATAAAGTTGCTTTGAGTTTAATTAGACACAAAGACACAGCAACAACTTAAGTTTCTGGCAGTCGGTGCTCTTCCAGAGGTGGGGAAATAGGAAGAATGATTAGTTGTCATCAGCACCATCTCTGTTGTACAAGAAAGTAACTGGTTTTTGAAATATATTAGATACGTTGTTACCGAATTAAAAATGTGTTAAAAAATGCTAAAAGGCTGTTGGTGGACCAACTTTGTATATACTTAAAAGAGGAATAGTAAGATATTTTACTGATTCCATTAATATGCAGTTCTGGCATTAACCTGTCATTAAGTGTGTTTCTGTATTCCTTTCCCTAGGCTTCTCTGAATGCCATGTGGTATGCAGAGGTTGGTTTCCTTTGTGTTTTTACAAATTATAATAATGCATAGAATACTTCTGTCACTGAAAATCTGAGTAATTAATAAGTAGGTGTCAATATTTTTGTTAGCTTTTGTAAATGTCTCCCTGCCTGTTGGCCCAAGATAAAATAGCTGTATCTCGCTTTAGCTTAACTGTTTTAATTTCTGTATGTGGATACTTTTGCCTTTCTTTGACCTTGGTTTCTGGCTGTATTTGTGCAGTATGTGTTTAAAATGCTACTTGGTGATACTTTCAAAGGAGAATATACAGTAATACATGATGTCTGAAATTTCCTAAATAGGTTAAAGAACTTCGAGAGAAGGCTGAGTTTTACAGGAAACGAGTGCTGGGAACACATTTTTCACGGGACCACCTGAATCAGATTCTGTCTGATAATAATTACTGTTGGGATGTCTCCTCAACTACGAGCTCAGAAGGAACCATTAGTAGCAACATCAGAGCTCTAGACCTTGCTGGGTAAGCTGTTGATTGTAGATAGTGAAAAGTATACCTATAATCTATTTTAAGTGCTGTTGTGTTTGTTCTGATGCATAGTGACCCTGTGTAAAACAATAAAAGACTGAAACTGCATCGTCCTCACAATAATTCCCATGATTGTGTCTATGTGGTAGCTGCTGGGGCAACTAGGTCAGTCGATCTCATTGAGTCTCTTCTTTTTTGCTGACTAATAAGGACTAGTCTCTCCTGAGAGCTTGTTCATAGTACATGAGAGGAAGTCTTGCTGTCCTCATGTCTTAGGGGCAGCATCCAGGCTGCACTTCCAAGATAAATTTGATTTGTTTTCTGTGTCCATTCATGAAATAGTCCATAGTCTTAGGCAATTTAATGATATTCCACCTTGAGGCTTGAATTTTCTTCTTCATTATTTCAGCTTGAGTAATGCCAAACCTTTTCTTCCCTTGCTTTTCTAACTTCATGTCTTTGTACTTTTCATATTAGAAGTTTGGTGTTTGTAATTGCCCTTCAGAATCTTTTGTTACGCTCTCTTACATCATCATTTCTCCCAGTTGCTTTAACTACTCTATTTTCACAAATTTCCATTCTACACATATATTTTGGTCTTTTCATTCTTATGTTTTTGAATGCCTTTTTTTTTAAATTCACTTCATGTGTGATACTGTAATGCTATTCCATAGCTCATCAGGTCTTCAATCTTTGATGTGGCAAAGCTGTTTTAGAGATAGTGTTTTAATTCAGGTAGGATAAACTCAAGGTCATATTTTAGTTCTGTGGACTTGTTTTCATCTCCTTCGGTTTCTGTTTGAACTTGCATATAATGATCTATTCCACACTGGACTCCTGGCCTTATTCTGACTGATGCAGTTGAGTTTCTCTGTTGTCTCTTTCCACACATATGGTTGATTACTGATTCCTCTGTTGTTGTTGTGCCATTGAGTCTCCTGCAATTCATAGCAACCCTATGTACAATAGCCCTAAACTCTGCTCTATCCCTTGCCAATCTTATTGTCTCCCACACTCCTATCCCTTTTACCCCAGTGACGGAATCAGTCCTTCTTATTGAGGGTCTGCCTCTCCTGCGCTGTCCCAAGTATCACCACCTCCCATGTTCACCCTCCCAAGCATGACACCCATCTTGAACTTGTTTGTTCTCCTAGCAGTACACTTCTCCAGCACCAAAGCTATGTATTCCTATATATCCTGTCTAAATGAAATATCCAATGAATAGCTTATTGGTCTTAGAAAATTTGATTATTTAGTCTTTTTGATATCATTTCCATCACTAATGCCATGTTTTCCAACTTCTGATTCTTTTGTTTCCTGCTTTTACATTTTAATCACCCATAATTGTCAATACATCTTGGTTACATACTTGGTAAACTTCATACTGCAGAAGTTGGTAAAAGTCTTCCATTTTTCTATATTTGGATTTAGTGATGGTTAGTAAATTTGAACAGGTCTTCCTTCTAAATATATGGATTTTATCCTGCCACTAATGGCATTGTAATTCAGGAAAGCTTATGAGATGTTTATTTTGACAGTGGGCAGCACAGTTCCTTTTTGTCATTTCTAGTATAATAGACCATATTCAATTCAGAGTGGCCAAAACCAGTCCATTTCACCTCCATTCTAATTAGCACATTAATTTTTAAATGTATTTAATTTTTGACACCTTCCAATTTTCCAATATTAATACTGTCTGCATTCCGCATTCCAATTATGAATAGCTATTTCCAGCTCACTCTTCTCATTTTGAGTTGTGCCACATTGACTTAAATATGCTTAATACCCACTGTCAGCAAGTCAGTTCCTACTTAGTGACTTCCATCGTATTTCCACAGTTCTGCCTCTGTGGGAGTAGACTTCCCATCTTTCTCTCATGGAGTGATGGGCAGATTTGTCATGTTAGTGCCTGACATGCTAGCTACTGTGCCAGCAGGGCTTATGTGTACATAAAACATGATGTAAATTTTAAAGGCTATGTTTTTATAATATTCCTTATTTATAATTAACAGAATGGGGATGCTGTATGATAGCCATGGTATTACGTTAAAGAGGAAAGAAAAAAGAAACTTCAATAGCTGTAGTATAAAAACTACAGAAAATAAAGCTCAGAAGAGGATAAGGTCCATATCTTTCTTGTTGTTCATTAAGGGGCTTTGGGACTAATATGAAAATTGCTTTGCCAACACAAAAATATGTGGTTCACATCCACTAGCTAATCCACGGGAGAAAGATGGGCAGTCTCCTCCCATAACTGCCTCTGAAAATCTGGTCGAGGCAGGTCAGCTATGTGTCAGTTCCGACTTGATGATACACAACAATAGCATTTTATGAGGGGATTTTCTCATTGTTGAGTTTTTAAATTAATATGATTTAACTATAAGAGAAATCACATGTTTAATTTTATGAATGAAGTTATTTCTGATCAGTTTTTTGTAGTCACACAAACCAAATTAAGCCATCAGTCCTAATTATGTAATGCATCATTTAGAAGGTATTGCCAGATATAATCATTAAATGCACCTTGTAAAGGTGAATCTTTCTGAAGTAAACATTTGAGCCAGCTCATATGGCTTACAGATATTATTGAATTTGTGTAGGCACACACCTCTAATTTAGTATCTAGGCAAGTTAAGCTGCATGAGAGCCTCAGTTCTGGGAGTAAATGCCAGTGGAGATGTTGGGGTTAGTTTTGCAAGCATAGGTGTAGGCTTGTATCATGTGTGAAGGTAAGAGAAGAGAAATAATATTTTAGAATATTTTAGTAGAAATTACAGAGTAGAAATAAATTCAAATTTTGAAATGAACTTTTACAGATTTATTTCATCACTCTATGAGGTAGGGTAATATCTGTGGGATAATTATGTATCTGTGAAAAATAGGGACATAGAGTATCAAATAGAAAATTGCCAGAGTTTCAAGGTTAAAATAAAACTTTTGTTTTACAGAGGACCGGCAAACCATAAGACTCTGCAGAAATGTCCTTCTACCAAATTAGAAGAAAAAAGACCTGTCTTGGAAGAACAGTCCCCCAAATATGCCACAGAAAAACTGGGCGTGTCAGATGCTCCCACAATGCCTGTTAGACGACGTCTAGCATGGGATGCAGACAACACCAATGAAGATACACAAAAACAGCCAAGAGGAAAGGAGGAGGAGGAAGAAGAGGAGATGGAAAGGGACAAGCAAGTTTACAGGGAAGACTTAGAGAAGTTGGATGTAAAGGAAAGCTCTAAGTTTGATAAGATAAAAGAAGGGTAAGAATTTTAAATTTAGTATTATATTGAAGCATTATGGTACATGACTTCTAAGTGTTTTTGATTTATCACTATGTACACTCCTCATTTTACTGACATGATGTGAAAGTTGGCATTATGTGAAAGTGAACGAATATATCCTTATCTGCTGATCTATATGGTTGTACAGATTTAAGATAGATTTCTATGCACATACAAGGGTAATTATATCATTACAACTCAGCTCATTGCCATTGAATCAATCTCTGTTGAATCAGAACCACCTCATAGCTGACCCTCCAGCAGTTTTCCGAGGGTAAATTGCATGAGAAAAGATTGCTCATTTTTTTTCTCAAGGAGCAGCTAGTAGATTTGAACTGCCTGCCTTAGGGTTGGCAGTTCAACCTTATCCCCACTAGGCCACTACAGCTCTGTTAGCATTGCTTAATTGCCAAATTATATCTTACATAAATGTTAAATTATATAATTACATAACTGCCTGACTATTGACAATCCTGGCTTAGTCAAGTAGTCGCATACCTTTAACCATTACGACCACCATTATTCTACTCCTTTCACACCTTAGCATTGATTACTACCAGACACATATCATTAATGTGCAAAATGGTCAGATAGTAGATTTTTTTACTATTGTTCCAAATGTGAAATGTAATATAAAGAGATAGTCAATAACTGATGAGTAGTGTATAACAGGTTTTAACATTTTTTGTTTTATGGTTAATACAGGGAATATTTTATTTTAATATTATGAAATAAACATTTCTGTGTGACTTATGATTAATCTTGTCATTTGTCTGAACCGTCACCAATTGATAATTGAATGTGTGGGCACTGAACCATATGGGGAGGATGGAATTTTGTTTCCTTAACTAGATTTCACATGTTTTGGTATGGATGACTTTTTAAAAAGTAAAATAGCTCAAGGTCTTGAATATCAGATTAGTGTGTAAAACCTAAAAAAGGTTATGTTATATGTTAATAAAAATATTTTCTGCAATAGCTAATTCTTGTAGATTTATGTACAAGGTGTTTTAAAGAATGCTTCCTGTTATTAATAATGCTCCTTTTGCCCATAGTTTTTATGATTCACATCATTCTTGCAATTGGTAGAAACTTTAGCCCTGACATAATGGAAGAATTCTTTACTGTTTTGTAGCTAATATGTCTCTTTGCCATTGGATTTGATTGTAATTTTTTTTCATAAACAAAAAATGGCCTTTTCGTGTATTTATCGTGCATGCAGTTTATAGCCTCTGAAAACCCACTGGAGGGTCATCTATGAGTCAGTTCTGACCTGATGGCATTTAACAATAATAATAAATTATGTAAAAATATTTTTTATTTTCTGGGGAAAATACTTCATAATAGGTTGTTTTACTTTGTAGGTCAGATTCTTCTTCTTTATCCTCAGTAAAAGGAGGCAGACTTCCCACACCAAAGCTGAAAGAACTTGGTGGAGCCCAGAGGACTCATCATGACCTTACGACTCCAGCTGTTGGTAATGGGCACATACTGTGTAGTCTTTATTTTGCTTGTTTTTTCTGCAGTATAATTTTATTAAAGTTTGTAATCGTTTGCATTTCCCCAGGTGGTGCTGTTTTAGTGTCCCCATCTAAAATGAAGCCAGAACAGAGGAAAAAACTAACCCCTCAAGATGGCTTAGAAACTCCTAAGAATGATTTCAGCAAGGTAAATATATTTTTGTGAAAAGCACCTGTTAGGAAGTGATTATTTTAATCCTACGTGAACAAGTAAGCTTATATTTTAGGAAGTCCTGTAATATGTGAAGATGGTGCTATTAAATTACTTTTATTAAGACAAATTCAGTGGCTTTTGTCTGACAGGGGTGTTCCATTTGCTGATGCTAAGTCAGTGGTGACCTAAAAGAAGAATTTAGCTCGTCATGTAGAAGATGCTCAGTTCTCTGTTAGGTCACTACTGGCTTATCGCCAGTGTATTTGTGTTGTATTCCAGTTATGTTGTAGACACTGTTCTGTGCACTCTGTATATTGTTGTTTTTAGATGCTGTGTCAAATTGCCTCTGACTCAAGTGACCCTCTGAATTCAATACTGCTGATCCTGTGTCTTCCTCATGAGCTCTACTTAAGTCCATTATTGTAACCACTGCATTAGTCCATCTTGTTGAGGGTCATCCTCTTTTTTGCTGACTCTCTAACTTTACCAAATATGATGTTTTTCTCCAGTGACTAGCCCTTCCAGATAATGTGACCAAAATAAATGAGGCAAGCTCTCGCCATCCTTGATTCTAAAGAGCATTCTGGCTGTGCTTCTAAGACAGATTTGTGTTCTTTGGAAGTCTGGTTCTGTATTCTTGGCCATTTCCACATTTAAGAGGTATCAATTCTTTGGTCTTCCCTATTCATTGTCCAGCTTTCACATGCATATACGGCACCTCGGTTTGGGCCGGTGCACATTAGTCTTCAAAGTCATATCCATGTTCTTTGTACTTTAAAGAGATCTTTTGTAGAATGTTTGATCAATGTATTATATGACTTATGACTTTTACTTCTATGGATGTTGATTGTTTATCCATGTGAAATGAAATTAACCACTCTAGCTCCCTATTGTAAGTATAGCAGTGCTCTTTATTCTAAATATTATTGTTGTTAGGTGCCATCAAGTTGAGTATGACTTACAGCGACTCTGTGAACAACAGATCTGATCCCTGTCCTGTCCTATGCTATCCTTACCATCTCTGACACACTTGAGTCCATTGTTATTGTCACTATGTTAGTCTATCTCATTGAAAGGATAAACAAATCTGTCTTAGAAACACAGACAGAATGCTCCTTAGAAGCAAGGACATTTCGAATTCTAGGTACAGTAGTGAATAAAACAAAGTCCTAGCCCTTATTGAACTTACATACTGGTTGAGGAAAAGGACTATAAATAACTAATGAAATACAGAGTATCTCAGTTAATGACAGATATTAAGGAGAAAAATAAAGCAGGGAAGGTGATTAGGAAGTAACTATAAAGTTAACAGTGTCAACAGTGGCATTTGAGCAGAAGTTGGATTGACCCAGGCATACTTAGGAAGACAATTTAGAGAAAACAAGTTCAATATCCCTGAGGTGGGTAAATGACTTATTTCTTTGAACAGTGTTCAGAAGGTCATGATAGCTGGAGTAGAGAGCTAGGGAGGAATGCATAATAGCTGATAGACCTAATTGGGTGCTAATAAGTGACAGGATCTCAGCAGGAATGGAAGTTGTAAGCAGATCCTTACAAGTCATAGAAAATACTTGGGATTGTAGTCTCAATGAGATAGAAAACCACTGGAAGAGTAGGTTTTACTGAGGATATACTTGTGTTGTGAATAATCAGTAGAGGAACAAGAGTGTGGGTTCATGGGGGTGGCTCGGGAGGTAAGGGGGATCTGGTGTGAGTGGCAGTATAGATGAACTTTATTAAGTAAACCAGTAAAAGTGGGGAAAAAAATGTAAGAAATAAATTTTAAAAAAACCACCAAAATAAATTACCTAAAAAAAAAAAGTGTATTACTATATCCAGGCAAGAAGTAATGAATGTTTGGAGTGTAGAGGTAGGCTTCGAGGTCATGTGATGAAGCCCATTTCAGGGTGTACTTTGAAAATAATAGCTTCCTCGATTAGTGGCAAGATGAGAGAAAGAGTGGGAGAGAAGAACTTATAACTCAAGGTTTTTGGCCTAAGTGAAATTTGATGTGAGATTAGTGATGATGTTTCCTTCAGGCTTGTTTGACTCTTAAGTTACAGAATAGAGAGATTTAGTTTTTTTGTTTTGTTTTTTTAATTTTGGTGCATGAGATGGTTAGTTTTACAGTTAAGAGATACAGTAGTTGGAAACTGAAATTGTGTAGAGGTTACATTGTCAGTGATGGCAGTAAATTGCATGTGGAATCACATGGGAATAAATGGCTTAAGTAGATTAATGGAGAAGTAAAATGATTATTTGAAGATATTTTATTCCATCGAGTTTCCCACGACCCATAACAACCCCATGTGCAACAGCTCTGAAGCCTGTCTTATCCTGAAATAGTCTCAATGACTCCGACACACCTACCCACATTACTCCTGTTACTTTGTCAATCCATCTCATCCAAGATCTTCTCCTGCTCTGTCCCTCCACCCTTCTAAGCATGATGTCTTTCTCCAAGGACTGTTCCCTCCTGGCCATGTGCCCAAGGTATATGAGAGAGAGATTCAAAATCCTAGCCTCCAAGGAGAAACCCTCTCCAAGACAGACCTGTTTGTTCTCTTGGCAGTCCAAGGTATGTTCAGTCTTCTTCTCCTCCAGCATCACAACTTGAAGGTGTTGATTCTAGTGTCATCCTTAGTCATTGTCCAAGCTCTCTGATGCATAGCAAGTAATTGGGAATACCATGGCCTGAATCAGATGCACCTTAATCTCTAGACTGACATCTTTGTTCTCAGTACTCTGGGAGTTTCCTAACTGCAGATTTTCCTGGTACAATTTGTCTTTTGATTTCCTGCGTGCTGGTGCCATGAAGTGTTGATTGTTTGTTGTTAACACACTCAATCTCTTCTTCTTCTATCTGCTGCCAGTTGGTCCAGTGGTAAGAATCTTTGTGTTTTTGATGTTGAGCTTCAATTCATATTGAAGACTACAGCCCTTGACCTTCTGTAGCAAGTGCTTCAGGTCCTCTTTAGTTTCAGCAAGCAAGACTGTGTTATCTGCATAGCTCAGGTTTTTGACAAGTCTTCCTCCAATCCTGATGACACATTTTTCCTCATAAAAGCTCAGCACCTTGATCAATCTGTTCTGCATATAGACTGAAAACATATGGAGACTGGACATACATCTTTCCTGATTTTGAACCATGCAGTTTCCTTGCTCTGTTCTGAGGATTGCTTCCTGGTCTGAGTATAGGTTTTGCATATTTCAACTGTTTTGTGATTCCCATTCTCCTCAAGGTTGGTCATAATTTGTTGTGATCCACACAATCACAGTATTTTAAGATAATTGATAATATTTATCCCTAACAAATCATTAAAAGATATTTCACATGGATTATGAGAAGCATAAATAAAGTAAATGAATAGAAATAGAGAAATCATTAGCTAATTGAATAGAGGAAAAAGCTTATTTTTATTTAGTTGTGTCATGGGGTAGGAACTCCTGAGCGAAAAAAAAAAAACAAAAAACAACCAAAAACAAACCACAAAGTTAGAAGCCGTATGGCAAAAACATAAAATTTAAATGAGAAAATTTAAAATTTCTCTGCTTTGATCTCTAGTGGGTAAGGAGCTATGCTGCCAAACCAAAGACTCATGATTCAAATCCATCAGCTGCTTTAGGGGAGAAAGTTAGATAGTCTCCTATTCAATTTTCAGCCTCTAAAAACCTGCTGGAGGGTCAATAGTGAAGGCATTCTAACTTGATGGCACACAACAACAGGAACTTAAAGGAAATTGCAGTTTGGTGAGAAAAGATTAATATTTTTATTTTATATAAAAGTATCTAAACATCAATATACTAAAAAGAGAATAAAGGATATTAAAGTAATTTCACATAAGAATACTGGAGATTTTTTTTAAAAGGGGGAAATTTTCACCTATCAGGAAAAAGGTGGTTTTTTTTTTTTTTTTTAAAATTTTAATGAAAGTTTACAGAGACTTTGGATTTCCATTCATTTACTGTTGCACCCTTTCCTCCCTGTCCACTCCTCTCCCCCAGTTTGCTTTTCTCTTTGGAAAGTAAAAAAAAAAAAAGTTTCATTGTTATTCAAATCCCCTCCTCTCCCAAGTCCACTCCATGGTGCAGCTTTCATTCTGGACTCTTGACATGCCAATAATACCTAATCATATATCCCTTTAAAATAGTTCTTTCCCTCATCTGTTTCAGTGTAGTATATGTAATTTATCCACACTGTCTTGACCACCATGGCAGTGTAGTAGGATTTGAAATCAGGGAGTGAGATGTCTCCTACCTTGTTTCTCTTTTTAAGGAATAATTTGCCTATTTGGGGCCATTCCGGATGAAATTGCAGATTGCCTTTTTCATCTCGTTGAAGAATGGAATTGGTATTTGTATTGGGGTTGCATTTAAAGTGTAAATTGCCTTTGGTAGTATTGTAATTTTCACAATATTGAGTTTTCCTTTCCATGAGCAAGGTATATAATTCCATTTCTCCAGGTCTTTTTGTTTCTTGTAGTAATGTTTTGCAATTTTCTTTTAATACATCCTTTGTGCTTCTGGTTAGATTTACTCCTAAGTACTTAATCTGTGATTAGCTATTGGGAAGGGTATTGTTTTTCTTAGCTCCAGTTCTCTATTCTCTTTGTCACTGTAGAGAAATCCAATTGCTTTTTGTATGTTGATCTTGTATCTTGCCACTTTGCTGAATTGGTCAATTATGTCCAGTAGTTTTCTTGCTGAGTCTTTATGGTTTTCTAAGTGTACTATCGTATCATCTGCATATAGAAATAATTTTACCTCCTCTTTACCAATTTGGGTATCTCTTATTTCTTTCTCTTGTCGTATTGCTATTGCAAACACTTCCAATGAAATAGTGAATAGGAAAGATGATAGTGGGCATCCTTTCTTAAGTTTTTTTTTAGTTTTGCTAGTGGCTTGTTGATTTTCTTAACTTTTCAAAAGAACCAACTCCTAGTTTTATTGATAGTTTCAGTTGTTTTTCTGTTTCCTATTTCATTTATTTCTGC